GATTTCCTTTCGGCGACGAAGAGGCAATAAAATCACTAATTATCTCTTTAAATAAATAAATATATATCTAAATATATAGTTTAAATAAACTATATATTTAGATATATATTTATTTGTTTATTTTACAGTTTAAAAAATTCTTGTATTAGTAGGAAACTTAAATTACGAGGTATTGAGATTATTTAGTTATTAGATACTAGGATAAGTTAGAATAATGAAAAAACTAAAAAATAATAAAGAAGACGCATATAGAGGTGCACAAGATTATGCTAATCAATAATTCTCGTTATACATATATGTTATTAACAATATTATTAATCCTTCACGAAATAGATAAATATTTAATTGTATTATTGATTTCTTCAACAAATAAATGAGGCCGCAAAATTTTCATTATGATCGATTTACTTGTTTAAAATCCTTTTTTTGGTACAATGACTTTCTCCTTAATACGTTATGCTATAGTTTATATCAATGTTGAGACATTATTTATAAAAAATAACACATTACGTTGTAATTTATATCATTTTTGGACATTAAACCCAAAATTGACGTACTAATTTTGGGATTAATATCCCAAAAGTGGTACAAATTGCAACATAATATACTATTTTTGACAAGAGGAAAATTAGTATAAAAAAGGACTTTATTCTTTTTTTTTTCGGTACAATGGACTTTAGACTGAAAACTGTTAGGAATGTATATCTATACCTTAATTATAGGGAGTATTTAGTGGCTTGAATTGTGTATTAGGATAGACTCTGATCTTGTTTCTATAGATAGCTTTGTAAACCCTAATCCCAGTGTAAATTAATATATGGCTATCTAGCCTCCTGAACATCACGTTTTGGATATTTCAGTACAACTCCACTTCTCTTTTGTCATGGTATCAGAGCGGACACATTTTTTTCTTTCTCTTCTTGATTGAAAATTAACGATGGTCGGACCTACCCCTACTTCCTCCTCCTCTGAGCAATCTTCTGGTGGTGATGGTGCCTCAACGGCCGTTGTTCGTCGTACAATTTCCCCCTATGACATCTCTCCTTCCGATAATCCCGGTTTGCTCATCACTCACGTTCAACTCCGAGGTGATACCAACTACGATGAATGGTCTCATAGCTTGAGAACGGCGTTACGGGCTCGTAAAAAATATGGCTTCCTCGATGGTTCTATCCCGCGGCCATCGGCGGGCTCGGATCTCCTTGATGACTGGTTTGCGAAAAATTCCCTTCTTATTTCATGGGTCATGAACACCATCGACCCCAAGGTACGTTCCACCATCTCGGAACCGGATCTTGTTCATAATTTGTGGCTTTCTCTTCGTGATCGTTTCACTACTGTTAATGGTCCACGGATTTTGGAACTTAAAACTGCCTTATCTGCATGTAAACAACCTGGGAGTAGTATTGA